TCTTAGGGCAGTTTGTTTGGAAAAGTTGATAAGAATCGACGTATAATGACAATTATTTTGTTGCATCTTATCTCATTCACGTAAGAGTGTCGTAAAAACCGCTAATAGACTCGTGATGTCATTAAACAATGCTTACAAGTATACGATATTTCGATTTAACGATTAAAACTGTATAAAGATATAAATTTTTATTTTTTGTGAAATATAGTAAAAATTAATTAAATTTACAAATCCTCATTTCCCCCGTAGAATGGTTGAAAAATGTTGAGGAAAAATTGTTACTAATACACAATAAAAGTAACAATAAAACGACATGTAAAAATATTATATAAACAAAATCTTGTGAAATAAATGAGAATAAAAGATGTTTTTCATGAAAAGAACATTATATTCCTTTGAAAGGAAAAATGGTCTTTAAGAATTCTCTCTCTGGCCGTATTTTAAAACATTTACTTCTATTTAAAAAATTTAGTCTGAAGAAAGGTTTTTCAAGAAATTTTTTTTAAAAAAGAAAATTCCAAGTATAATATGTCGCTTTACGAGGTCTACTTAGTGTAGGTCGCTTACGTTGATAAATTGCTGTTATCGATCACTTCCTGCCCTCGTCAATTTGCTCTAGAAAAATGTATTTTTAGTGCCAAACTTGTTTCAATTTTGCTGCAATTTTGTTCTTACTTACACAAAAATATTTATTTTACGAAAAGAAATTGTAAAAAATTGTTTTAATTGACAAATAGTTTTTGATAATTTTCAAAAACTTTATTAATTATTTTAAATTTATAAATGAAGTATAATAAAAAAATGGTGTATTATTATAGTAGAGAAAATGAATTCCCAGACTCTAGGAAAATTATAGTTAAACTTATATGTATATTCTTTCTCAGTATTTCACAATTGGACTAACTAACTAGTAGTGTGGCTTAAAAGAGTGAACAAATAAGTGAAGAACCGAGCCAAGATAAGTTAATCAAGAAACTCAGCCGGCGAAGGTTGCGGGAAGAGCGCACAGAAAATGATGCAGACTATAATCGATGTCAGCAAAAAGAAAGAAGGAGAAAAAGAGAGTCGACGAGAAACAAGCTGCCAGGAGAATATGGCAATGTTCCGACACTTTGTCGGCGAGAAAACAGCTTGGAAAATCAAATTTTCCTCTTTTAGAGAAAAAGAGAGAGAGAGAGATGCGCTGTCGTGTTTTCAAAAAAATGTTTCAACTTAAGACTTGCAGCTTTTCAAACTGAAAAAAATTTAGACGGGAAATTTAACTACCATTTAATAGTTAACTGGAAAGTAGTTAAAGCAACTACTTTTTTAGTATATGAGTAATTAATTTAACTATTTTTTATGGAGTTAATAATTAGCAGTTCATTTTACTAAAAAAATGTTGTTAAATCAACAACAAAATCTCATTCTACCAACTACATTCTTAGTTCTTTTAACTACTTTCTCATAGTCAATAAAACTTTTTTTAAATTTAGTCTTACTAGGCAGAGTAGTTAACAAGTAGTCGAATCTACAAGTTTTTTTAGTACACTTTTTTAAATTTTATTCTCTCTAAATTTGAATTAGTGAAAAGTGTGCTACTAATTTACATTACACGGAAAAAATTTTGGTGCATCAGATGCGCAATTTACGGTAGAACTGTTGTACTATGGGTTGCGGGCAACTGTTATCCTGATTTGGCGCGTCAGAAGCGCTGTAAGGGACATTTTAGACGCACTGTATTCGGGGCATAGGTTGCACCAAACCGGGATAACTGATGTCCGTTTTTAAAGTACAAAAATTTTTTAACTAACCAGTACAACCGGTGCACCAAAATTTTTTCCGTGATAGTAAAAATTTTTACTGATTTTTAGTAAAATATTACTATTTGATTTAGTAGTTTTAATTTTTTGACCTAAGTTTTAGTAAAAAGTGACTAAAAATTAGTGAGAGTTCTTACTAATTTAAATTAGTAGCTCACTTTTCACTAATTCAGATTTAGAGAGTTTATTTGGAATTTAATTTTTTTGTTTAAAGAATTTAATTGGCTTCAATTAATTTTATATATATATATATATATTTTTTTTTCAGAAGAACAATGGAGCCAGTTTTTCATAGGGGTGAACACACCCTTAAAGTTCCAATGGAACTTTTCGCCAATAATCGAAAAAGATTGATCGAAGGACTTAAAAAGGTGACAAATTCTGGAACATTCATTGTCCTGCAGGGTGGATCGGAATCTCCTTATGATGACACGGACGTATCTTGGCCCTTCAAGCAGGTGAGAATTAAAAACTTTTAACAATTTTATTTGATGTGATATTATTTTTCATTTTATGTGGATATGCAGTAAAAAATTTGAAAAAAACTACGTTTCACACGGCGGAAGGGGAGGGGTAAAAAAGTTACAAAAATATGTCTACGCAGTTTATGAACGCTTCCTAATTGTATTAACAATTATTTTATACACTTGGAAATTAGAAAAATAATAATCCAATCTTTCTATAATTGTCCGTGAATGAAAACAGCAAATTAGAAGATTTTTGTAATGTGAAATCTTACGTGGCAAGTTGATTATTATTGCAAAGTCGATGAACGCCTTTGAAGCAATATTGGGTTTTTTTTTAATTTTTTATTTTAATTTTGTTTTAATTTTGTATGTAACTGACATTGATGTTTTCAGGTTCAATTAATTTCCGCACGTGACATTTCTCCTGCTCGCGAGTTCATATTCAGTAAATTTATTTCTTGAAAAAACTAATGTGTTTATGTGTTTTTTTTCTTCAAAATAATTTTATCATAATCAACCTTCTTGAAACTTATAATTATATATAGAATATTTCTGGTTTAAACTACATAAATGTACAATTTAAAAAACTTGATTTTCTAGAACGAATGTACCGTTCAGTGCGTTGAGTGAGTGAGAGAGAGAGAGACCTGACGTAGCAGAAAAACACGTGCTCGATTCATTGCAGTCAAGTACAATGAAAAAAGTAACTATATACTAAAGCGAAACTCTATACTTGACAGTTACGTGATTGCATTATATTGCGATTTTCCTTTCGGTAAAACCGATCACTTAGCGTTGACAATCCAAAAAAGGGTTTCTAATTTTTTTTAATTTTTATTGACTTTTACAGTCAGAATTTTGAAAATCTGATGCTTAATTATGGTAGAGGTCTTAAAAATCTCATACAAAAGAGTACAAATTACTCAATTTTTATTTATGGGAATTAATTGCATAGTAACAAAATTATAACAAAAACAATATATTTTTAGATAAAAAACAACAATAAAGATCCTAAGTTCTACGTAATATAATAATTATGTCCTAGAAAGTGTGAAAGAAAATATCTGGTATTTTTTAAAAATGAAAACAATATTTAAGGTTTTGATTAAAATGAGAGGGGATTTTTAAAAATACAAAACCTTTCATCAAATTGTAGATTGTAAAGGACCATTTGAGTCAAGTTGTTTCTTCGAATATAAATAGTTGATTTGAGGTACTCGAGCCATGCCTAGAGCACGTTGACCCGTTGGCCGATCGTTCCCGTGAAGTTGAAGGGAATACCATTGACTTTAAAACGAACCCAAACAGAAGAGAAGAGCGCGCACAGAAATATGGCGAAACGCTTCTCTTCACGCGTTACTGGTCAAAGAAACCTTTATTTCCCCTTGGAATTTCCGGTCTGAATTCACTTGTGTTTTTTTTCAATGACTAAATATCATAGTTTTACTGCCCTCAACCATCTTCATATTTTGTTACTTTTAATTTCTTCTATCCCAATTGAAAGGATCCCGTGCAGAAATTGCCACTTTTCATCCCGATTACCGACCTGGCCCCGGATTAGTAAATTTCTATGGGCCCGACCAGGGTCAGGCCTGGTTGCCATATTTAAAATTTGTAAAAAAACTAGTGAAAATACATTTATAGCATTTTATGACTATAATTAGTAAAAATATTTACTAATTTGAATTAGTGACTCACTTTTTGCTTATGAATTAGTAAAATTTTACTAATTATTAGTAACTTTTACTAACAATTAGTAAAATTTAACTAATTCTAAAGCAAAAAGTGTGTCTCTTAAATTTTACTAATTGTTAGTAAAAGTTACTAATAATTAGTAAAATTTTACTAATTCATAAGCAAAAAGTGAGTCACTAATTTAAATTAGTAAACATTTTTACTAATTCAGATTTAGAGAGTAAACGAAACAATTATTCAAATAATTTTGTTCAACTTTTATTTCATTTTCATTTTATAAGGTGTTTTTTTTAAATGCAGATTCATAAAATAAAATAATATTGATTAATTTTATTGTTTTATTTATCAATTAGAGATAAATAATTATAATTTATTGAAAATTACAATTGCTATAAGATCGGGCAAATTACCATGGCCCCGGTCGGGTTCCCTGTTTCATTTCGATCGGGCCCAGATCAGGTTGCCAGATCTGGCCCCGGTCAAATTTTCTGCACGGGGTGCGATTCCGAAAAAATTTATATTTCAGGGTCAATCAAAAGGCTCCTTTCATTAATTACTGATTCTAGTGAATTTATATACAACTCCTGAACTGGAGATTAATACGATTCAAAAACACGTTAATTCTAATTTAACTTTTAATGAATTTCGTTCTAATTTTTTTGCTCGATATTTTTAGTAAAAACAACTTGAATGAAATGTTCATATATCATTTACTAAGAAGAAGTAGGTCAAACTTTTGTATAATAGAACCGGTGCAAAAATTAATTCACAAATAGAAAGTTTGGACAACAACGAATGATGAAAGAATTTCGTTTTCTAACCTCGCGATACGCGATGATATATAGGTTTCCAACAGGTAAAAAAACTTGACTCCTCTTTTATTCTTAATTTTGTGTGTGTGTATGTGACTCACAAGTTCACCTGCTGGTTTTTACTTTTTTCCAGGAATCCTTTTTTCAATGGTGTTTCGGTGTTGAGGAACCGGATTGTTTTGGAGCTCTGGATTTGACGAACGGCTCGTCGATTTTATTTTTTCCTCGATTACCAGCTGATTATGCGATTTGGATGGGGAAATTACATTCACTTGATGACTTCAAAAAAAGATATGCTGTCGATGAAACTTATTACACTGACGAGATTGCCAATATTCTCAAGAATAAAGGAGCTACCACTCTTTGCACTTTAGTTAGTATATACTCTTTTTCAACTTTTTTTCATTCAATTCAAAAAATTGTCATTTACAAAACAATTAATTTTCATTCAATTCAAGAAAATCTTTTTGCAATGAAAATTCTTTAAAAAATAAATAGCATTGAGGTGAGAAACTACAGAAGGAAATTAAGATGATAGTGTTAGTATTTACGACACATGTTTCTTAATTGATTTCTTTAGTTAAAAAAATAAGGAAAAAAACAAAACAAAAAAATTTACATCGCTCATAATTTTTCATTCATTTTTATGTACTGTGTTCAAAGATTATTAGTAACCTCGTAGACAGGATGTTATTGAATTTCGCTGATTAGAAAAAACACATAAGCCAAATGATATTTTAAAATTAAATAAGAACTCCAAATATCTCTTGGTTAAATCGTATTATTTTTTTTTATTTAACTAGTAAGTAATTGTTGGTTATGAATTTTAATTTAATTATAATTATTTTAATAATTTTCATATTTTATTTGACTAAAAAAAGATTTGAAAATGCGTTGAGGAGCTTGCAGAAATAGGATGCATGTAAAACGAAAAATATACCAAATGCCGTCGACTTGGGTGTAGCTTCTCTGAATATATACTATACAGACGACAGTTAATAAATTTTTTATTGTTTTCTTTTACATCCGTCACAGTTTTACTTAAGAAAGAATAATAAAGGTCATTTTAAAGGACTTTTGCAGCAATATCTGCTGTTAGTATTTCTTTTTTAAAAAAAGAGTAAACATTTTCCGTCGTAAAACCAGTAATTGTGGCATTGTGCGCCAATGTAATTAGATTGGGAGAAAGTATCTCGTTTCCATGTGTTTCTGCTTTTCCCAGAAAGTCACTTTGTTTCTTTGTTTTGTTTTGTTTTTTTGCTTTCAGTAATTTTTTTAAGCAGCCGAGGGACAAATTTTTTTTTATTTTTCAAAATTCAGATTACATTTTCTAAAGAATTGAATCATTAAAACAAGAGATTATGTTTTAAATGAAATTATAATTTTTGTAATATATAAAATTTTAGATCAAATAATCCAAATAATATTTTGTTGCGTAGCTTTTTAAAAATATATTTATTATCTCAACATTTTGATTGCAGTCACCATACTTTTCATGAAATTTACATTAGTATAAAAATGTGGAGAGACATTTTTCTTAGCACATATCTATAGGATCGTTACATTAAATATAATATTGTGGGTTTAAAAAAACACGTATTAACTCGATGAGTATATTTTAAGTTTGTTTAATTACCCTTTCCTGGTATTATATTAAATCGTCGTTGCCTAATTCAGAAAAATGAAAAAATAACGATTGTTTTATGTTCATGTCATGTCTGTATATATGTATTTTGTCCTACAATTTTTATTATTTCTTTTCAAAAATTTATTATCTGTTTGTTTTTTGAACAAGATAATATTTTCAATCAAACCTATTTAATAGAAATTTCCAATTTTTTTATTATTACAAGAATTTAAAAAAATGTAATGTATTTATAAATTATTTGGCATGAGGGTTCTATGAAAAAAGAACAAAAACTTTTCCTTTATTTTATACGTTTCAGTCAGTGAATATTTATTATAGTATCTGTAATGATAAATACAAATGTAACTGTAAAGTGGTGTCTAAAATTTAGATATTGTCGATATTTTAATTTAGTTTTTAAAACATATGAAATTAGTATAAAATATAAAATAAAATTAACGTACAAGTTATAAATATTAGATTTATATAAAGAATTTGTAATTAAATTTAACAATTTTTTAAACTGTAAACTTGTATAATAGATAATAATAATAAGAAAGATAAGGTGAAGGCGAGAAAAAAATTTTTTTGTGAAGAGTAGTATAATATATGTATAATGTGCTATATAGAAATGATATCCAAAGAAGAAATCTCAAGCCAACAATTTTAACTTACAATCACATGTTTGAATAAAATTTAAGAATGTTGTAGATAGAAGTGGCATACTATGAATTTACTCCAATTGATATTATATCACAAATAAATTTTTTCTCGCCTTCACCATATCTTTCTTATTATTATTTATTATACAAGTTACAATTTAAAAAATTGTTAAATTTAATTACAAATTCTTTATATAAATCTAATATTTATAACTTGTACGTTAATTTTATTTTATATTTTATACTAATTTCATATGTTTTAAAAACTAAATTAAAATATCGACAATATCTAAATTTTAAACACCACTTTATTCATCATTACAGATACTATAATAAATATATTCACTGACTGAAACGTATAAAATAAAGGAAAAGTTTTTGTTCTTTTTTCATAGAACCCTCATGCTAAAGAATTTATAAATACATTAAATTATATTAAGGGTAAAAGTAAAAAACATCATAATGCAATTTAAAAAAAATTTTCATTTTCATTTGTTTAACATGAATTATTTTAAAATATGTAAATCGCAAATCACGCTATTGATATTGTGTTTAGTTTCTCGAGGCACTTTTCGAAAGTGTGTGAATTTTTTTTCCTTTTTTCTTTAACTCATCGTCTTTGTGGTTTTACATAAAGTCCAATCATTGTGATAGTGCAATTTTTCTCTCGTGAGTCAGTTATTATGGAATTTAGCGGATTTTTTTTCATTTTTTGTTATTATGAGATACAAACAATAATATTTATCTTTAAATTTTTTGCTAATATGTTTTAGTATAACGTTAGCATTATATAAATTTGAATTTCACGTACGAATAATGTTTTATATTTTTCTAAAGTTTATCAGTTTACAATTTCCTAACAGATCAATGTGATAAAGATATGAAGTAGGTAATGTATACGTGAAATTTAAATCACTATGCGAATTTTTTTAACTTGGTTCAATTTCACCGATCATTTATAGAATGAAAAATGAAAATAGGAAAAATTACTATACAAGTAAACTTATGTCAAATAAAAATTTATAGTTAAATGTAATATTGCAAATTTAAAAAAAAAAAAAAATTGGAAGTAAATAATGTCAAATTGATTACGTGTGCTTCCGTTTCTTTGTAAAACAGTCAAGGGCTTTCTATTTACCTGAAATAAACTGAAATTGCATAATATCACTTTTACTTTGTTCTCTGTGTTGTGATATTTTGTGGGACAAAACTTTGCCTCCTTGTGTGTGTTCACCAAGTCTGAAAACGTGCATATTGTCCACTTTCATTACTCAAGAAAGAAATCATAATAACAATTTTGTGTTTCAGAGTGGAACAAACTCGGACAGCGGACTTCCAGTCCGTGAAGCTGTTTTCGATGGAATTGGACAGTAAGTTTTTTTCCTCTCTTTCTCATTTAAATAAATGACAACGATTATATAACTAAAAGTATTATATATTATAATTACTTCTTATTTTATTTAATAAAAAATAATTAATAAATAAAAAAATTACAAAAAATAATGTTATATTATTCTGTAACATTTTATTACAATTATGTATTATACATGTATATAATATGAATGAATAGGAAACTATAGATTAACGGATTAGGAAAATTATTTTATTTCATCTCCTTTTATTTTTTTTCTTTTTAGATTCTCTGTCAACAACACGACTTTGTATCCGGAAATATGTGAGTGGTAAGTCAACATTAAATTAAAAAAAAGAAACTCTTTATTTCTTATTTGAGAAACTCCTGAATTTTTATATATTTAATGTATTAAGTTTAAAAACTATAATCATCCATTCAAATTTTCAGTGAATTGATTTATATATTAACCAAACTTTCACTAAAGGATTGATATAATTTTACTTACATTTCTAAGTTTTGTGAGAAAGAGTAAATTTAAATAATTTACTTTATAGTGTTTAAGTTGTTTAAATTACATATATGAACTTAAAATTTAAATTTTTATGTAATTCTTAAGTTTCAATTGGAATTTTAAATTTGAGTTCGAATTTAAATTTTAAATATTGATAATTAAACTAAAAATCAATTGTAACATGAGGGATGGGGCTAAATAACTTTATCGTTCAATACTCCTGAAATCGCCATCTGACGTTAGTTTCAAAAAGTTTCTTGTTGCTTTCGACTTTGATGATAATACGAGATATCTTTGATTTAAAAATTTCTTTTATCATAAAAAATACTAAAACACGATTTTTAATTTTATTATTAGTTTCTCTCTGGTTGTAAATTTAATTTCAAAATTATTCAAATTTTTTGAACCTAAGATATTTTTTTTGTCAACTTAACTCTTTTGGCAAATATTTAATTTCATTAATCGAATGTTTCTTAAAACTAGTCGCGGCTAAAAGAAAAATTCTTTAATTCTTTGAATTTTAACCTTTTTTTATAATTTCTTGATTTTGTCAGTTTACTGATACAATACAATAATTATTATTGCATAATTATTGATTGAAAAAATTTTTTTCGTGATTCTTATATAACGCGGTAAAAAAACCTTTTTATTATTAATTAATATTAAAAGTTTGTAAAGTTCTCTTTAAAGGTTAATAATATTTAATGACAGTTTGTTTTGTGTCATGTGTTTTTTGGTATTATATAAAATTTGGTTATTTACAAATTTCAATATCAAAATTGTGTTAATGATTGTTTTCTCGTTTATTTAAAAAGAAAAAACATTTTTTCTCTATTTTTGTAAACGATGTTTAATATTTTGTGTCGAACACTTTCGCGCTTGAATTTACAAACTAGTGAACAAATAAATTTGAAATTTAATGAAAGATTATTTAAATCGGAGAAAAAGTCTTTTTCTTCAGAACCATTATTATTGTTTCAAACTTACACTTTAATCGAGGAAGGAAAAGTATTTCAAGAAGTGCCCATGATCGTGCAAAAGATTAATAAAATTGGGAACTTTTTGGATCAGAAAATAAATCAGGAAACGGGAAATAAACTCGAGGTAGAGAAATAAGTATTTTTTCTTTATTTCAATTACGTAGAAAATTGTGGTTTTTTTAAAAAATTTTCTTCTTTCTTTTGCAGAATTTGAATAAGTTTTCGGAAAATAATGACGAATCAAATATAGTAATAGCAAAAGGTTTACCATATTCGTTGAATATTGAAAATTTCGATAAAAATATCATAAACAGAATCGATATTAATACTGAGGAGGGAACTGCAATTTTATTTACTTCGGATTTGGAATTTCTGAAAAATACAGAAATTGAACAAGTTCTCAATAATTTAGATCCACATTCAAATAGTTGCAGTAATTATTCCTACATTGAAAATGCAATTTCAAATGAGATAAATTGCAGAGTCGCTCTGCAGGTATTAAAAAAAATTAATTTTTTTTTCTCTCATATTTTATTACATGTATTAATTAATTAAATTAATTTTTTTAAAATTATTCTTGTAATATATTTTTTAACTATTAATAAAAAAATACCAACGCAGACACTCTCGAGATTAATTGAAATGGAAAATTACAAATTTCATCAGGATTTTGCATTTTATGAAAAAACTCTTGTGAAAGCGAAAAATCGTGATTCAGTATTAAAAAAATTAGTGGATATCATTTCAAAAAGTCGTGACAGTGAATCGATTATTGTTGGAATGGAAATTTTGATCAATGATCGTGTCAGTCCATTAAGAAATAATTATCGTGATCGTCTTCGAAACGAGATATTGATTCGTATTATTGACGGAGATTTTAGTGTTTCTCAATTAATTGACATTGTTCGAATTCTAATTCTTTGTCGTGATCCATTTTACAAGGAGACAATTGATCTGCTCTGGATTGGCATCAAAGTATTTTATACTAATTATTATTATTTTCTTTCACGGAATTTTTTAATTAAACACAAATTTTTTTGTTTGATTTTGATTATCTGTCGGTAATTAATATTTTACATTAGGTTATATATTGCGATAAACATTTATACGAGGTCTATTACCGATATACATATATGATATTTTTATATTTAAATTTTCTAACAGATTCTGAAAAAAGCAAAAATAAATAAACAAGTTTTTTAAAAAAATAATTCAACTTAAAAAAATTGAAATTTTTTTTATTGAATTATAGTTTTTAATAAATAAATAAATAGTATGAATTTATTGATTTTTATGAAAAAAATATTTCATTTTATTTACTTTTTTTAACACAGGTTCGAGAAAACGACATAAATGCGGAGAATATTGTCGCTCTTTTTAGAATTGTTCACTATTTTCAAGACAGTAGAAATCTTTTATTGACGATTCTCGTCAATAGATTACAACTAATTTTTTCTAAATTGTCGGCAACTCAAATGGCCGATATTCTCGATGTTTTTCACTATAATAATTTCACGCGAGTAAATTTATTTGATGTTGTCAAAAATACAACGAGTCAATGGATCGTAAATTATTCAACGATTTCAAAAGAAAAAGAACTTACCGATATTGTTGACAGTTTGGCGAGTGTGAATTATGTTGATGAGATAATAATTCATGGTCTGGAAAAATATATTCACGTTAATGGGACAAATATAAAAGATCCAAAATTTGTTAGCGCTTTAATGAAATATTGCGTTAAGGTTCGATATGCGAATCCAACAATTATGGAATTTGGTGCCAAATATCTTCATTCTCAGGTGAAGAAGAAATAATTTTTTTAAATTAAATTCACTCAATAGAAATATATATTTATTAATATTATTTCTTAATAATTAAAGTATTGATTAAATATTATTAATATATGGAGGATTCTTCTTCAAATGTACCAATGAAAAATGAAAATTTATTAAATTGGCTTGAAACGTTGGTAAATTGTCGCTTTATATGTGAGAATAAAAAATTCCTGAAATTTCAACTTATTTAAAAAAAATTTTCGGAAAGAAGAATTTGTTTTTTAAATGACAGTGTTATTTTGTTGCCAATAAAAACTTGTACCTCTACTGTACCCTCTGCAAGTTTTTTTACAGGTTATCAATAGGGCATCAATTTACCAAAGTTCCAAACTAATCCAATACCTTTTAACTTGAAAGTTTCGATAAAGAATGACTCATAAAGAAATCGGAAATTCATATTTTTCAGGGAAAAATTCTTCCTGTAAAATTTCTCTCCCCTATTTTTGCAACATTTGGTTATTTTCCAAGTACCACAACAAAAAACTGTGAATCCGTTTTTGAGGACATGACAGAAATTTTACGTACTAAATTTTCAAATTTAGATCTTCGAAGTTCTGTTGAAATTTTGTTGAGCTACATTTATGCGGCAAAATATCCTCAACATTTAATATTGTTACTTGATAAGAAATTTCAAGGGAAAATTAGACGTGCCTTAAAAACGAAAAAAAATCGATCAATAATATTGTTGATAAAAAAAATACAAACTATCGATTCGGTGATGGCACTCGAGACAAAACAGCAAAAACAATATGGTCAACGAAAAAATCGTGAAAAATTGACAACAACGGCCGCGGCATTAATAAAAGATTTACGAATACGGCAAATGGTGAAAAAAATTCATCAACAATTGACAAGTCACATCGGTGGTATGGAGAGATGTGGCATTGAATTGATTTTAGCCGATTTTCCATTAATTGACATTTATAATATTGATATTTTAATATTTCCCAATGTCATTCGTTTACCAATAGTTGAAGTGAACATGAATACAATAAAAAATTGTAAGGCAATTTTAATTAATTTACCGGAACATTATTGTTTTGGAGGCAAGGAATTGATTGGACCGCAATTGTTGAGGATTCGAGTGCTCAGGAAATTGGGATTTCAAGTTGCCACTTTAAATTATGACATTTTATCTCGCATGGATAAAAATTCTGTTGAATTTAAAAATTATTTGACGAAGCAAATTGATAGTGCAATGTGATTTCTGCAAAGCTAATTTTTTGCATTTTTTAAAGTAGGCAACTGTCTACTATACCGACTGTACATAGATAGAGAACTGAAATAATAAATCTTTGAGTTTCTCATCTATGTACTGTAGGTAATTTGTATATTTGGTAGAAAATCTAAATAATTTAGAATACTTTCTTAATTTAAAATGAAAATTATAAATTTATTATTATTTTGTTAAACAATAAAGGAAAATTCGAGTCAGTTTGAATGGAATTTATTCAATTAGAAAGAAAATTTTTATTGGAATTTGAACCAATTTTTTATCGACAAATTTATAACAAAAATGTTGTACAAAATTTAAATATATATTTAAAATACTATTTTACAAAGCCGATTTTCTTCCATATTGGAAGAATTAAAGAAAGTCTAAATTTTTACCCTGAAAAAATATTTTGCATTATATTTTATTTTAAATTATATTTATTACACACATTTATTTTTCAGTCGTGTAATTAAATCGCCGCAAGAAATAGAGGTTCTGAAGTATGTAGGGAAAGTAAGTTCTGACGCACACAAGAAAGTAATGAAAAAAGTGCGCCCAAATTTAATGGAATATCAGGCGGAAGCTGCATTTATGAATCATGCATATTCTGTCGGTGGATGTAGACACATGGGTTACATTTGCATTTGTGGATCTGGACACAATAGTTCTGTATTGCATTATGGTCACGCTGGTGCTCCAAATAACAAAATAATCGTCAATGGCGACATGTGGTGGGTTTTGAACATTTTCCCAATTAATTCCTGAAAAAATTTATTGTTTTTTCTTTGTCGAATTTTTCCAATTTTTAACAGTCTTTTCGACATGGGAGCAATTTATTGTGGCTACACGGCGGATATCACGTGCAGTTTTCCAGCGAATGGAGTTTTCACACGCGATCAAAAATTTATCTACGAAGCAGTTTTGAGTGCACGTGACGCAGTGTTGAGAGAAGCAAAACCCGGCGTTCTTTGGACTGACATGCATCTACTTGCCAATCGGGAAATGTTGCAAGCACTGAAAAATGGTGGACTTTTGATTGGTGATGTAAATGAGATGATTGCAGCTGGCTTAAATGAAATTTTTCAACCACATGGTCTTGGACATTTATTGGGTCTCGATGTTCATGATGTTGGCGGCTATTTGCCAGGTCATCCGGGACGTCCAACTCAGCCTGGCCTCAGAAAATTGAGAACTGCTCGTCAATTGATGGCCGGAATGGTCATCACTGTTGAACCCGGCTGCTACTTTATCGATTCTGTAAGTATTTTCTTTCTTTTCTCTTCTCCTTTTTTACATACTTGTATCATTGTGTATATATTCTTTCGATCGAACGAAAATAAATTGAAATGATAAAAAATTCGTTACAGCAATTGGATTCCGCATTGTCTGATATTAAACAGAGCAAATTTCTTGTCGCTGAGGAAATAAATCGATTCCGTAGATTTGGAGGTGTTCGAATTGAGGATGACATTCTTATAACAGAAACCGGAGTCGAAAATTTCACTCACGTCCCACGCACGTAAGATTTTTTTTGCAAAATACTGTTTTACAACAAAGTTATGAATATGAATCTTTCTATATAAAGAACAAGTAAAAAATTGCATTTTATATATACATATAATAATTTTATTTATTATAATAAATATTGATTGCAGAGTAAAAGAAATTGAGAAGTGGATGAGTGGCGATAGAGAGGCGATTATCTTACCGCAGGACGAGAGAGTTGATTAAAAAAATGTCCAATGATGGATAATATTCTCCATACTTTATTTTTCTCCGTTTTACATTGTCATCATAATGAGAAGGTCATGGATTTATGTAAAATTTCACTTTCTCTAAATTTCAGTAAATCTCCGTGTTTTGAGACATTCTGTTGACGGAAAGCAAATACACGTTATGTGTATCAAGATTCTTAAAGTGTTTCAGTGATTTATCTCCTGGAAATTCCAATATTTTTTCTAAAACTTAGTATTTTGGTAGTAGGTATATTAATGGGACAAAACAAAAAAGTATAATATATATATTTTTTATTTTTAATACATTTATCAAAAGTTATTGGTATATTTTTAATCATAGTGATAAATAAATATAATTTTACTGTTAGAAAATGGTTGATGCTATACGCCCTTTATACCTTATTTTTTGTAGACGACTGATTGAGAGATGAGCTGGCTCATAGATGCAGAACGGCATTGCATTATAATTATAATTTATAGTCGTGATTATAACAATGTTAGTTATTTAATAATTATTAAATTCAAAATTTACAATATTCTTGCTTTTGTCTTATAGTTATTATTGTTAATTATTGTTAACTAATTGTTGAAATTACTGGAATAGTATTGTTAACAATTGGGTTATAAATTACATAATGTAATATAGTATAAAATATGTAATTCTGATATTATTTCATTACTTTTATTATTATAATAATGTATGGAGAATATTCAATAGTTTCAAGATTCTTTAGATGTGGATCGAAAGACTTTTATATCAGGTTTTGTTTTGAATTTTATTTCAAAAGATTTTCCTTCAATTTCTTTCTATTCAGAATTGACAAAAATATTTATTTTATAAAAAATGTCAATTGAATTTTTTTTATCGTCACATGCGGTTTGAAAAGTCGAAGAGTGTGGGTGCAAAACTGTAGCGCGATCTCGTTTCGAGCGCGGTGAACTATTAAACGTTTATCACTATGCGCGAGTTTTACTTTTACACAATTTGCAGTTGCGCGATCGGCGCGTACGTGAACGGTACTCTCCCTGGCAGTGTACCCAATGCCAGTCCGATGGCAAGTTCACTTACACTTATATTTTGCAAATCAGAATTAAAATCTCCCCCAAAAAGAAACAAATAATATATAATAATCACATAAAAAGAATTAAAAAAAGGAGGTGGCTAGGAAATAGGATTTAATCTTAACATGCAATTTTGCCTCGCGTGACAAATCAAACAATCCAAATATATATATATATATATATTATTACAATCATCTTTTTTGATATTTTTCAAAAAGTCTAGGCAAATCAGAATTTTTAGTTTTGACAGTTTCAAACAATTTTTCCACCTAATGAATCATTTGTCAAACGGCGAGGAACAATTTTGATTGTTGTCAGGAGAGCTGGAGAAGGTTTCATTGCAGAAGGTGAAAGAATTGTCATCAGGAGGTTTAAAAAGAAGTTGAAGTATTTATTAGGATGTGGAAGAATTAATAATCGGGAATCCGAGAATTAATTATAAGGAGATGAAGGATTTTAAAAGCAGTTGAATTAATAATCTGGAAATAATTAATTATTTGTCCAGGAATTTAAAAAAAATAATATTATCAGGTGATTCAAAATGTGTAATTCATTAGAATTATAATTCACATCATTACGGAAACTCAATTCCTATTAATCAAAATTTCACTGATAAATTATTAGGTATTTTACAAATTTTGATCATTCGGAATTTTAAGATCGAGTGATCAAATAGTGTTACTTCGAATCAAGAATCAAAGACGAATTAGTGAATAACAAAATCAAAAACGATGCAAATTACCTGGGTCAAATTCCAAAAATCAAAATCATGGCTTTCTTGAAATCAAAAATTCAAATAGATTTTTTCTATTGAATCTTGATCAACAAAGATCAAACTGATGATTAATTAGATCTATTCTTTTTGGATCTTTCTTATCCAAATTGATTAAAAATTAGCTCCAGTTTTTTGGACCAATTTTTCTTCTATTTTTCTCTAACTACTTGAGGGGAGTCACGACCCCCGGGACAAATATCATATGTGTATACATTTAGCCGCGGGTGAAGATAATAGAGAGGTTGGATGTTTATGAGATTATTTCAAGGGGAAGAAGAGAAGAAAAATAGGGAAATGACACGTGTTTTGAATCAGTGATCAATTTGGGTGAGAGTGATATTTGAAAAAGATTCTTTCTTTCTCTCTGTGATATTTGTGCGGCGTGGTTTGATAATAATATCAGTGTGCAACGCGTACATTCTGAACACACACGAGGAGCATTGCCATCGATCGGGACGGACGTCGTGCGCCGCGACGCCCACCACCGTTTCGTTTCTTGCCACCAGCTTCTACTTGTCGTGTGCCCCACCTGCCAGTGGACTATTAGACTATTACGCCATCAGAAACACGCCTTGGAGTGTCACACTCTGGTGGCATCGACTCTCTCTCTCTCTTTATCTCTCTCTTTCTCTATCATTCTGTCTTTTCTCCTTCTCTCTCTCTCTCTCTCTCTCTCTCTCTCTCTCTCTCTCTCTCTATTACAAAAAGCAGTCAGTGTCCCTTAAAAGTCAGTGTGGTGACGACTCGAACAAATATTGTGCTGGTCAGGAACAACTCATCCTCTCTTTCTTTTCCTCTGTCGATTTTTTCATAAAAGTAATTAACATTCGTTTTTGGAAACGAATTTGTCAAAAATTTGTGGTATTTATTTCTTTTTCTTTGTAAATATGGAATTAATTTTTCTTCATTTCCGCGAATGAAGAAATTCAAGTTTGTACGGTGAATTTCCCCTGAGAAAAAAGTAAAGATACGGAGGAAAAGAAATATAAGAAAAAACCTAATAATTACAAAATCGAAAATAAGTCAAGTTTCTTAAAAATTATTATAGTAAAGAGAGGAAGAAAATATAGTGAAAGAAGAGATAGAAAAAATACTCATAAAGTAGAAAATAGAAGAAGATCACGAAAAAGGTAAAAAATAAAAGAATTAAAAGTAACGGGAAAATAAAATAAGTTGAAAAAAAATTTCTAAAAACAGAGAGAAAGAAAATAAAATAAAATTTAAGAAGCTAAAAGAGAGAAGAAATATAAAAGAAACAACAAATAGGAAACTATATAGAAAAAGTGAAACAAGAAGCATAAAGAAAAACTCGAAAAGTGAAGTATATGTAAAATTTAAAACCACTTGAGAATTTTTTCTAAACAAAACTTGAAATTTGTGAAAATTTTTTTCAAGTTTCAGTTTTCGTGAAACGATAAAAATCAAAGCAATCTCATTTACATATCAATAGCAAATGCACATGTTGAAATAGGATATTTCTTTTCTTTTTATTATAATTTCCAACCAACTAAATAATAGTTGTCAACTATTTATAAACTGACAGCCATTCATAATAAATTACTATATTTATAGAAATTCTATAGTTATTTAAAAAATACTCCAATCGAAAATATTTCGATAGTTAGTAAAGTTTTGGATAATTAATATTTGCCGACTACAAGTTATTTCTCGAATAAATATAAAAATCCATACGCTCTAGAAGAATTTCTTCCAAAGAAAGTGTAGAAGACTCTTCCAAATGATGATCAGCTCCTTCCGAAGGGTGCGCAAAAAATGAGAACAAGAATAATTTAGGACTTGCAATTAATCTCTTCCTTAATAATCCATATTAATTCCCAATTTCTCTAACTTTCCCACCGAAAAAAGAGAAGAGGAAAATATGTTCTGCTTCCAAAGACCATTTTCACGAACGTCACGTGGCGTCACAAATTCCCTATCAACAAAAGAGGAGCACCCCGAAACAAAACGACGCGGTTCCGAGGCAACGAGCGAGGGTTCCGGCTCGTCGTCAATTCGATACATTGACCAGGAACTCTCTATTTCCGGTGGCAGTAGTACCGAAACTTTGCCTGGCATTAAATCCGATTATCTCGAAAACGATCCACTCTCTCCAGGTCCCGATACTCTTATCATCAACTCGCCCAGTATCAATGTCATCAAAGTCTCGAATGGCCATCATGAAGTGAATTCTCATTCCAACAGTACGGATAAGAGTCGATGGCGTAAAAAGCTTCTTCTAAGAATTCGCTCATCGGACTCGTCAAATTCAAGTACCAATGGGGAATTACGAAGTTCGTCGCCATCGCCCGCCAGTGAATCAACACCCTCCTCGTCAGGTGGCTCATCATCGCGAAATCCCGAAATCGTTGATCGACGGGATTTCCTCAATGTTCCAACGGCGGGAATTTTTGCCGTCAATGGAATTCCATTGGTGAATGGGTTTAGCGATCAAGAGGACGAAGAGGAGGAAGAAGACGAGGGGGTGGTGGATGAGGAAGAGGAGGAGGAAGACGATTATGATATTTGTAATCAAGAAACGGAAACTGAGGACGGCTCGTCAATGCCGTCGAGTCCCGCTGCAGCGTCAACAGTCGGTTTGAATTCAACGTCAATTCCTTATTACGGTTTTTTATCGGTGAATGGCGGTGCAATGCGACAAGAGACAACCAGCACAAGTTCCCCGCAACTCTCGACTGAGATTGCAAACAATATGGACGATGTGTTGCCGACGAAGGAATTAGACACTGGAAGTTTACGTGATGATAGCGATGCCGATAACAAATGCCTATTGAAACCTATTGACAATTTGGAGGCGACCGCGTGTTTGCCGGTGGCGCGATCGTGTCCAAATTTAGAACGACAAAGTGCCGGATTTTTGACTACAAGTGGATCCTCCAGTCCAAGCCCAAGTCCTGGTCCAGCGGGACCACGCTTCAAGCCACTTGAAGAGGGCGATATTCAAGTTTGTTATCTCAATCATACGCGTACATTGGTCAGCAAAATTTTATCCAGCAAATTTCTCCGACGATGGGAGACACACCATCTTTATCTCAACGATGCTTGCCTATCGTCTAAGGCGGTGAGTTCTTTTTTTCTTATCTTTTTTTCCTCTTCATTTTCTCGGAGACAAATAAAAATTGAAAAGACAGACTCATCATCATCATCATCGGCAAATAAAAACAACACAACAACTCCAGCTGTAAAAAACTTATTTCAAAAACACAAATCGATAGCTATTAAAAAAAATGAAGATTTGAGAGAGAGTGGTGAGAGTGGTTCTTCTACACGACCATCGCCAGATAGCTACCGATTTATATTTTTCCAAAACGGCCAATCACTTCATTTACTCCAATTTTCATTCAGCTCAGAATAACTATTTAAGAAAATTGTTAAATATTTAACATTTTCGTCAACATTTTTTTCAGGTTGTGGCTCTTAATAATATTTAGCTTTGCGCAAAGCTTTTAAATCTCAAATTGCCCCAATACCGTTTTCCCCCTTTTTCATTCGGAAGGCTTTATTAAAAATATTTAAAAATTTTTTAATTTCAACACTTGTAGAAAGAATTATAATTATAAGTTTGGTTTATTTAATAAAAAATATTAGTTAAGGTAACTAACTTAAGAATTTTTTAAATTAATTACAAATGTGGTATTCCAATAAAATTTGTTTCATTATTTTTAAAATAAAAATTACTCTCTAAAACTTTTAACTATATTAGGATTTAATGCATAGAGACAAGAACTTAGAAAAAAATAAAAAGAAAAAAAACAAGTTACGTATACATTCTTTGTCACCTATAATGTTTGCAAATATAATTTCATCGACAAACTTTAGCTGTATCATGACAACAACGTTGTCAATTGCGTTTGAAAAAGGCGTTCATTCAAGAAAATTTTCAATAAATTTTTCACGTTTTTTTTCTTTTCTTTTTTTTTTTGTTAATTTTTGTTACGTTTACTGGGATAGGTTTTCAACCATAATTTTGCTTTTTTTCCAAACATTTGACAAGTCATCATCAGACGTTGGTCATTCACACAATTACATTGTATCTTAATTAATTATCAAATACATAACTAGTTCCTCATAAGTTTCCTCATCAATTTCCTCGACCAAATGATTATCTCTTTGTCCCTTATCATAAGACACAGTCATTATGACGTCTGACATTTTTTCCTTTGTAATTAATATATTATTAATCATTCTAATTTAATAGTATGACGCTGAAAACTCATTATGTATTTATATAGTTTTGTGTTTTAATTATTATTTTATTATAATTAATTAATTTCTGTATTTTCTTAAAAAATCATTTAAAAAATGAGCAAGAAGAATTTTTATTTTCGCCTTGATTCAAGTATGGGAATGTAATTAAGGGCAGTCGATAAACTTGAAATTGATTTCATAAAAAATTATTAATAAACTAATTTCATAACTTTGTTGTTTGTGATTTTAATTAAATCTCATACAACGTGAGCATTAATGGTATATATGTATAAAGTAATTAAACCAATTATTTGCCTTTCTATAATTTAGTTGACTTTCTATTTGGGTTACTCACAGAAACTGGACTAATTACTTTGACGTCATTAGACACCTTACATAATTTCTATTTATATTTTCAAAAATACTATCGTTTACATAATAAAATAAATGAAATTTACATGTACATTTACAATTTATATTTAAATTCAAATTTAGAGAAGATTATTTTTCATTTTTTTTGCCAAAAAAAGAAAATCAAGATTTTACATATAGTTTTCATTTCTGTAACTTTTTGATTTTTCAAATTTTCTTAAATTTTTTTATTTAAATTGCTTAACACGAAGCTTTTTGAAATTGTAATTTTTAAAACAAGGAAGATTTTAATTTAAAAATTTTCTAAAATTAAGTTTATATCAAAAAAATTTCAAAAAAAAATTCAGTTTTTTGAGTTAAATTTGTTTAAGTAAAATTAGTGGGAGTAAAATTCAATGGAGTTAAATTTATTCGCGTAAAGTTGGTTGGAATTAAATTTATAGAAGTTAAGTTTACTGTAGTTAAATTTTAATATTGAAGTAGCATGTTTGTTAAAGCTTAATTTATTGGAGTTAAATTAAAATAATGAAATTAATTAAATAATTGTTATTAATTATTATTATTATTGTTTTTGAAAGACATTTCAATTGATTATATTGAAGATTAAGATTTGCGAAATGCTATAATTTTCATTGTGGTAAATTGATTTGATTCGCAATCATAGCTCGACAAACTGCAGAGAGAACATGCCTCTTTGTAGTTGAAGTTTATCATTATACGTCACCGCAATTAAGTTTCGCTTTGGTTGTAATGCAGAAAAGGGTCAATTACTCTTTTCGTGTAAAACCGTTTTGCTGAGTCTAACAAAAAAATTATTTTAAGACATTTCTAAGTTTAAAATTGTTTTCCTTTGTATAAAAAATTCTCATGTTTTAAAAGGGTTAATTTAAAAAAAATTCTTAATATAGTATACAAAAAATATGCACTTAAACGATTTCCATATTACAGCTATTAATCCAATAGAAATTTTTCAATATTAAAAAATGAGGCCTAAATGACAATAATAGTGTAGACAGATTCGCTTAGTTTCCAAGTTTGAAATGGTTTTTCTTTTTTTGTCTTATTTTTATTAATTCTTTGACAGTTTGAATGAGTTTTTAAAGAGAAGAACTTGTATACTTGAATTAATCCGACAGGTGTGTAGGCGTATGTGAAGATATAAAGAAGTTTCATTGACTTTTTTTTATATTTTCAATCGTTAGAAAATCGCCTGCCAGGCTTTTAACACCTTCCCAACTTTTATATATCTATATGTAGTGTTTTTCATAATAAATGTCACGAAAATTTTTTTATTGTATATCATTCATAATTTATGAAACTCTTCAACTTATATAAATTTAATTCCGAAGTCTGTAACTTTTGTTGCTTTTACTGTACGAAAATGATCTCCATTTAAGTGCAATTTCCATAAAATGAAAAAGTTATTTTTTTTCATCTCGAACAGAAAAACGAAAAATATCCCAGCAAAATAAAGGAGTAAATTAATCATGATCCATCGTCATTGAAAATGTTCGAGATCATACATACATTTTCGAATAAGTATATCGAATGTGAGATAAATTTTTTATTATTATTATTATTATTGTATATGAATAAAAATGTCACAATCATTCTTTTATCAATTTACATATACGTTCTTTAATTAAAGCGCGCGCGTAAAACAAACAAAATTTCATTGTGAATTTTTTTTTCTTATTGTAATATTTTTTTTATATCGCGAGACCTGTGATAATGAGTTATTCCGGAATCTGCACGGCGCTCATTATTCATATGATTTTAATTTCATGATAATTTATTTTTATTTTTATAAGAATGTTCAAGTTTTTCTCTCTACAAACTTATGTGAATATATATATATATATAAAACAAGGAATTATTCAAATTTTTTATATCAAGTTTATTGCAATTTCAGTTGGGATGATAAAGGAATGCGATCTGCATTTACGTAAATTGAGATTTTTTTTCTTACTTAGGTGATACATATGTTTCTATATATAAGAATGTGCATAAATTTGTTTAGAGCAAAGATTAAAAATATGGTACACTTGTGTATACTGAGAGTCAAAGTAGGTCAGAATAGGTCCAATGTAGGCCTGATGTATAGGCTCAAAGTTGATAACAGCCACAAAATTCTTTATTGAAGACACACTACTAAATTCATTGGGTTGTATCTATAAGTTATACTTTACGTAACAATAAAAGTTTTTATCCTCGTGTAATAACGTGTGATACCGTGTAATAATGTGTTATTATGGAGCTGTAATAACCTGTAATACTTAGTAATAAGAGTAATATGAGGTGTAATACCGGAAGTCAAAGTGTACACGTTTTTAACTAGTAAATTCCCCCTCGATAATAATATATATGTTAAAAATGATATTTAATTTTTTATTGCTTGATATTTGTCTGTTTGCAAAATTGTATTTTAAATTTTAACTGCTACAAATCTGTTTATTTAAAATTTCAAGATTTACACACGACGTATTACGTTTGAAAAAGTCAAATATAAAAAAAGAGTGTTTGCATGAATAAAGCAAAACTTATTTAAATTAGACATTTCTTATTTTCGTTTTCTGTGCGTTTAGGGAAAAATTTATTTAAATTAAACATTTTATTTTCGTATTATGTATATTGTATGTTATGAACATTTTTTTTAACAAAGATAATTAATTTCTTTTCGAAAAACATTTTGTGAAAATTCAAATTTCTATTTGCAGTTTAAAAAATGTTATTTTGATATTTCCAAATTATTTTTTCGAATTTTTATTGAAAAGAAAAACTGTATGAAGATGAAAAATTTTATAATTTTTTGTTAATAGATAAACAATAAAGGCTATTTTGCAAAAAATTATCTGCCATATTGGTTATGCCACTTTCAATTTTGGGTCATGAATTTGGATTGAGTGACCCCAAAAAACCCCCAACCAATTTTTTGTCAGCGAATTCAACTTAAAAATTTTTTATTACCTCAAATCGGAGCCATTATATTATACAAGCAATTTTTTACTTGCAAAATTTTTATTCTGATAATCATAGGTTCTTCAATTGTTGAACTCATTATTACCGACAGTAGGTAAATTAATAACAACAAAAATTGTTGGTAATTCAGAATTCTAACTTAAAATTTTATTCCGAAATTGAAAGAAAAACAAGTTGTGGCATTTACTTTAGACTTGATATAAACGAATGCTACAAAAATTTTTGAAAAAAATCACTTACCGTTTGTGAAATTGAACATAAATTTTGGAACACAAGACTTTGCCACGTAAAAAATTATATATTATATTCCCCTGTTAGGCGCGTTCTTTTCCGGTTAAAGCGTCACGAGTGCGCGTCATACAGATATATTATTATACATTTGACAACCTGAAGTGGTACTCGCGCGAAAGAGATTCGCTCATCAGACAGATTGTCGTTGAAGCATTTGGGAAGTATTTTTTTTCATTTCTTTATTTTTGATATTTGTTATGCATCGCGAATTTGTGCGGTGTACGGTATCAA